CTCATCTGCCCCTGAAGCACTGGGGCTCTGTTCCTTCATTCCTATGGAAAAGAATTGGTCTTCATGTCCAGGGTCCATGGCCAAAATTAGAATTTGGCCTCCCAAATTCCGTATATCCAAGACTTGCTCCCAGACAAAAGTAGACGGGACAGACAGGTCAGGCTGGCCCTGTCCTCTGGTGATTTTCTTAGACTCTGAGCTGAATGTTTTCATTTGAAAACACCTTGGAGAGGGCCCAGAGATCTCCCAAGGAGGGGTTCTGAGGCCTCGGGCACATGACCACTGTATATGGACAAAGGAGCTCTGTGCTCTGTGCTGCTGTGGTGGTTTTGCATCACAGAAGTGATGTCCTGAGAGAAGCTGCTAGCAGTTTCTGCCATGTCTGACAAAAAAACCAATCAGTAATTAGCTTTGAGAGCTGACAATCTGTTAAACCACTAAGCAAACTGCAGACGCCTCTGTGCAGACCCAAGTTGAAGATGAGAAAGCCTGGCTGGGTCTCTCTCCCCTCTGGCCCCAAAGAGGTGCCAAGGCCGGCCCAGCCCCGTCTCGGCCGTGGGGCCGGGCGGCTCCTGCCGTGGGGCCGGGCCCCTTCCCAGGGAGCCGCCAGGCCCCATCGGCTGCCGGGCAGGGCAGGGGAGGCCGCGGGGCCGAGGCCGGGCCGTGGCTGCGGGTGCTGACATCTGGCCGCTGCCGAGCCCTGCCCCGCCGCCAGCCCGGGCCCAGCCGGGATCCGCCGGGCCCCAGGAGCAGCCCCGGGCCGGGCCGGCTCGGCCGAGGCTCTGCCGCCCTTGGGCTTCGCCCGCAGCCAGCGGGCAGGGGAGGAGAAGCCATCGGCCCCGGCCGTGCTGCTGCTGGGCTCTGGCCTGGCTGCTGAGATCCTGGCCCTGCCCCAGCGCGGCCCAGCCTGACACAGCCCCAGCGCAGCCGCTGCAGAAACCTCCATGGGAAAACAGCTCCGGCCGCAAGGACCGAGCCCGGCCGGGCTCACGGAACCATCTGCAGCCCCGGGCAGATATTGACTCTGCCAGTGCTGCCATCCTCCCTCCAGTGAGAGAAAAGGACACAGGGCAGGCACACAGAGCAGCAACATGAACCCACTGAGGTCAGTGAAGAGGTTGTTGAGTCCCACATAGGAGGGGTGAGGAGATGCCTTGATCCTGGGGCTGAAATCCTCTGGTAAAGCTATGGAGAAGGATGTCATGGATACATCAGACTCTCTTTTTCCCTATAATGCATTGAAAAGTATGGGGAGATGACTTGTTTCAGCAAAGGCCTCCATGCTAAAGTAAGCAAATGTTGCAGTAGCTGTGATCCCATAAGAAGTTTGAAAAGAAAAAAAAGAGTGATGAGACCCTGTGCCCCCAGGGAGAGAAGAGGAAGACCTCTGTTCCCAGAGATGAAGATGATTTCAGACATAGATGAAGAGAACCTTTGCTCTTAAATAGCTGATCTTGAAACTAATACCCCATAAGTTAACATGGACTATAAACACAGCTGTGGGAAAAGCTGTGAAAAAATGAGAGGGACTTGACAATTACAGATTTTTCTGGGCAGCTGCTGTTCGTGGAAATGAAAAGCCATGAGATAACTGTTTTCTTGTGGAGAAGTGTCAATAACGTTAACAAGAGGAACTTCTCCTGCTAAGTTAACTGAAGAAAGACTATTCTAGAGGTAGTGAACTGACTGAAAATTTTAGGTTTTTTCTCTTTACATTGTCAGGTTGTATGGAGAGAGGAAGTGTTCTGAAAATTTTGTCTGATTCTTATTACTCTTTCTTTTAGTTACTGTTAATAAACTTTTCTTTACACCCATTTAAAGTTTTGAGCAAACTTTTCCTTTCTCCTAATCCTACCTCAGAGCAGGAAATGAGTAAGTATATTCTAGTGAGTGCCCTGGTAATTAGCCAACGCTGAACCCACCACACTAATTGATGCATTGGCCAAGATATCTTAAAATTATGAACAAAAATCACTACAGAAACTTCCTGATTAATTGCCTCAGACAAGAGGGAAATCACGGCAGAGCCATGGTTTGTCAGGACTTGCTTGATCCTAATGAGCCCCGTGGTGCATTTGGAGCTGAGCCCTGAAACCTCAGGGCCTGAGAGGAGATTGCACAAACCTTTCCAGGACTCAAAGTCAAAAGAAAGCCCCAAAGTGGTTGGAGTCTCAAAGCATGAATGGGTCCCACTGAGGTCCATCCCCAACACAGGCTCCTCATGGACTCCTTGGACGAGAGAACTGGAGGCTGAGATGGCACAAAAACCTCTCAGAGACTCAAAATGGCACAAAAACCTCTCAGTGTGGAAAGGAAAGTCCAAAGTACCTTAAAAACCTTGAGTATCTCAAAGCATTAATGAGCTCCACTGAGTGTCAGTACAAAGCTCTCTAGGGACTCCTTAAAGCAGATAATTGGGGCCATGATTGCACAAACCTCTCACAGAGGCTGGATCAAAAGGGAAACACCAAGTACCTTAAAAGAACTGAAGTACCTTGAAGCATTAATGAGCCCCAGTGAGTGTTGTTCCTGACAAAGCCTCTCCAGGGACTAATTAAAGTAGATAATTGGAGGCCATGATTGCAGAAAGCTCTCAGAGACTCCAAGGCAAAAGCAAAAGCCAAAGTCCTTTGAACAACCTGCAGTCCCTGGGAGCATGAAGGAGCCCCCAGGGCCATTCCTGACCAAGGCTCCCCAGGGACTCCTTCCAGCAGATCCTTGAGGCCACTGGGATGTGGGCTAGGGGGGGATGCTGAGGGCAGGACCAGGGGGTGACAGTGCCCAGCCTGGCTGGGGCTGTGCCAGGAGGCCCCAGGGCCTCAGGACAAGGTGTCTCCTCACAGCCCTTGGTGGCACAGACCCTGCTGTGCCCCAGGGCACCAAGACTTGGCTTCTCTTTGTCCCCACCTGTCATCAGTGCCTCCAGTTCTCTGCTCTGCCTGGGGCCTGGGGACACTTTCTCAGTCGTGTCCCTCAGTGGGACCCATTAAAAGTCAGAGAAACTTTGGAGTTGGAGTCTGACTTGGAGTTCTGGAGAGGTTTCTGCAGCTCCCTCTCAGGGCCTGATGTTCAGGGCCTGAGCACAAAGCCCCAGAGGGTCATTAAAGTCCTTGTGCTGTGTCTGTGCTGCTGAGCTGGGCCGGGCTCCTGGCACAGAGGGTGATCCTGGTAACCAAGCAGAGCTTCAAAAGCACATTTCTCTTGCTGAGCAGCTCTTCTCCCAGCCCAGCAGGGCTGGGGCACTGCCTGCAGCCAGCCCGGGCACAGCACAGAGGCACAGAGAGCTTCAATCAGTCAGGGCTGGGAAGGGCTGAGAAGTGCCTGGGGCAGAATCACTGCCAGCCCTTGGCACAGGAACCTCTGGCTGCAGGACAATGCAGCTGCAGCTCCTGCAGTGATCTCCTAAAGCTGGAACATCCCAATGCCCACAGACCCTGTGAGTACATTCTGTGCTTATCTCTTGTGCAGAGCAGCCAGAGTGAGTGAATGTGAGCAGTGATAACAAAAACTGGGACAAAGAAGGCCCTGGACTTACTCCAACGGGTTGAGCCAGGGGCGTGTAACTGGGGAAACTGAATCTCCTATTGGATGTTCCTGTTAGATATCCTAAATAATCAACCTTAATAAATTGTTGAAATCAGGGGCTGAGTGTGCCCCATTCCCACTGGGACACCTGGAAGCTTCCAAGAAAGGTCTGGTGTTGCTATCGCGCTGGCGCGGTAGTGTGGAGAAAGGGTTTTAGAAAGGCCTTGGGAATGGGAAACTGAGGAAAAGAGACATTTATGTATGCCCCATTGTTTCGGGAAAGTTTCGCTTCAGCATTTTTCTGTAAACCCCTTTTTCCCCACACCTGAGCAGTTCCCATTGGACCCGACCCCTGGGGTGGTTCTGATGAGCCCATGCTGGACACTGTCTCTATTGTTTAGACCTTATCTCTTAATTTTGCTGTATAAAACTGTATCTGGGCAGTAGCCCAGGGAAAAGCCAGGGAATCTCAGGAAAACGGAAAGCTGGACAAGACAAACGCAGATCTGAACCAATGTGGTTAATCAAACGTTCTCCGTTTATTCAAGATAAGATGGTAGTTTATATAAGCTTCTACATAGTTTACAAAAACAAAGACACTCTGATTGGCAAGCTAACTGAAACGTAAACTTTAAGGCATTTAGAGATTTTGAGGAGCTAAGATTTTAGTTAGAAATAAGTCTTACTAGAGTTAATTAAAATAAGAATAATAAATGAGTAGGCCTTGATGAAGTTAGGAGTTAGTAGTTAACTAATAATTAATTGCTTGTAAGCACAATGTTTGGTTAGCTGGGTTTATAATGAAGAATATAGAAACTGATAAATAGCTTTTAGGAACATAAGACAATTGTGGGCCTCCTCTCTTCTGAAACCAATTGAAGACAAGGAATGGGAGTTCTACCAAGAGTTCATTTGTCATACCCACATTGAAAAGGTAGAAAGGTCAGAACGAGGAAGACTTCATTTACTTCCTCATTTTGGGACCCCTCCCCATGAAAGGGATCACCGGCTTATTTCAATGGACAAACTATACATGCTTAATAGCTTTTAGAGTGATTAGCATACGAAGCGGGGAATGGGATGTACCAAAATGATGAATATGTATTTCTATTCTGTGTATTCAATACTTGTATGGATAAAAAGACTCTGTAATCACCTGGAAGGTGCGGAGTGTATTTGGGAGCTATCCCGCATGCTGCCCGGCGTCGAATAAACATACACTTTCTAACTTTAAACTGTTAGAGAGTTTTTGTCCGTCACAGTTGGATATCGATACTAGATCAATATCCATATTTTTTTAATACATAAGGGAGAGAAACCCACACTTTCTCTCTTCCCTCCTACACTGCCCCCCAAAATAAAAGTGATCCCAAAGCAAACAAGGGCAGAGGAGCAGCCCAAGCCCTTCCTTGCCTGCAAAGCAAAGCAGCCCCTGCACAGGTTCTGGAATCCCACCTCTGCTCCCACCATGGAGGTTTGTTTGTGTCAGGCTGGCTGCCCCAGCCCCAGCCCCAGCCCCAGCCCAGGCCATGCTGGGTGCTGGGGGCTGTTGGCAGGGCCAGGAGCCCACTCCCATTTTGTATCCACCCCAACCCGTGCCCCCAGCCCTGCCAAAAAGCAGCTGGGCAGCCGACTGAAGTTGCATCTGCCCCAGCACAGGGGGAACCTTTTGTTCCCAGCCAGGCTGTGCAATGCCCAAATCTGGGAGCATTTCCCCGGCTGTGGACTCATCTGCAAATTCCCTGTGGAGCCTGGCTTTGAAGACGGTGCCAGAAGTCCATCATCTTCAGCTGCCAGTGGCCAACTTGAGGAAGAGGTTGTCATCCTTGATGTTGCCCTCGCTGCCCCCAGCAGCAGCAGCCCCACCTGGTACAGCTTCTCCAGGGGCTCCTTCTCCTTCCCTGGGGGTCAGACCAGGCTGTCAGGGTTCTGCCCAGGGCCCCAGCTGTCAGGGAACCAGGACAAGCAAAACCAGCTCTGATGGCAGCCACCAGTGCTGGGCAGAGCAGCTCAGCTCCAGCACAAGAGCTGTGTGTTCCCACCCAAAGACCCCAGTGCATTGATACAGGCAGGGAAAAAAGTCTGGGTTTCCTTGCTTCTGATTGCCAGGGCATGTGTGGAGCTGTAACTCACCAGGGCCCTGCAGCAAAGTGTGCATGTGGCTCTCTCCCTTCTTCTATGGCAGGTGAATATCCTGTATCCAAGGATCACAAAACAGGTCTTCTAAGGAAGTTCTGTCCAAGAAGTGCCTGGATAAACACCCCCTGATAAGATCTTGGCACTCTGGGCAGAGAAACCAGAAACCAGCGGTCAGCTAGAGAAGGCTCCTGTCTGCTTTGCCCCACTCTTCCCATGCCCAGGCCATGCTGGGTGTGCCCAGAGCTGGGCCTAAACTTTCCCATCAATTCTCTGTTGTGGAGGAGAGCAGGACATGTGCCACCTCCTCAGCAGCTGCCAGAGCGGGATGCTCACGAGCTGCTGCTGTCTCCCAGCACTGGTATTGCCCCTGTGGCCAGAGATGAGGATCCACTTTGAGAGAGCCGTCGGAACAAGATCTGCCCCCAGATATCTCCTGGCCCCTCCTGAACGGGTGCTTCCCCATGACCAGGTGGTGCAGCAGGAGGCCCAGGGACCAGATCGTCGCTGCCTTGCCGTGGTAGTGTTGGTGGTGGATCCACTCTGGTGGGCTGTAGGACAGGGTTCCTGTGGAACACAGACAGAGTTCATCAGGGGGATGCTGCTGCTCGCAGAGCCTGGCCCCAGCACCCCTGGGCATGCGGGGGCTGCCCCAGTGGCACACGGTGTGACCGCTGATCTCTCGCCAGCACCTGGGGCTTGTGTACGGACTCGGCGCTGGAAAAGAAGCCACTGGTGCTGGAAGAGGGCAGCAGAAACCCTGGGAAGGCACAACCATTGTAATAAATATAAAGGTCTTTGTCCATCAAAATGAGCATTGAAGGAGATAAGAATTCGAACTGAGTAGGGAATTTGAAGATGTGGGAGGAGAAGGGGGTGGGGGCCGAGGGAACAGCAAGTATCCTGCTTAAGAATTGTGCAGATGCAACCAGCATAGAAGACTGTGTAATTAATTATATACAAGTTAACTTTTAGGCCAAGGACAATCTGCAAGGAAGATGAGGAGCCTTCATCCCTATGACCAGCAAGGGCAGAAAAAAGACCCCCTAGCAACCAATTGCACCGGTGCAGAGTGCATTGAGAGAAAATATGTCACCTGGGGGAAAAAAAAATAAAAAAGGGACTATAAAAACAAAAAGGGCAAAGGGGGAGGGAGTGCTGTGGTAGAGCGGAGACTCCCCGGCCGCCCAACACTGTCTTTTGCTTGCTACCGCTTGCTTAATAAATTCTTGTTAATTGATTTATCTATAATTGGCCTCCCCAGTTGAATTTGTCCATAACAAGTTTGGTGCCGTGACTCAGATAAGGGCGACCGGGTGGGAATTCCTAATCAGGGAGGCGCCCCGCTGCCTTTCAGCGGCCCTGGTGCAGGCTTTTCCTTCCCGGACCCTTACTGACTAACCTAAATTTGGCATTAAGCAAAAGGGATGCAGGGAAACTTTGTGCACGAAGCCCGGGCCAAGACGCAGGACAGCGTGAGTATAAAAGTGGGGATCCGCTCGGCTGGGGTTGGGATCCCAGGACATAACACATGAGACATCCTTTTAGGACGAGGCAAGTGCGGACCTCTAAGTAGCGCGGTTTCCAGACCCCGAGAGGGGCTGGGCTGCGAACAGGGGGCCGCGAGTGTGTGTGTGCGTGAAGGTGTCCTGGAAGATGGGACAGAGGAAAAGCAAGCCCTCTGCTTCCATGGGGAGGAGGACCCCGCTGAAGCTTCCCCAGATACCCCGTGACAGTCTGTTAGGTCTAATGATAAAATCTTGGGATGAATATCCTTCAAGAAAAGGGAAGGATAGGGCAAAAATGATACATTACTGTATGGAAGTATGGGGAGGGAAAAAAAATCCATGGTGATAATTTATTTTGGCCAGTGTTTGGAAGCTTCGAGGACTGGATTTGTCAGGCATTAAACATTTATGTAAACTCTAAAGAACCTTTTGCTATGGAAGAGAGCAAGTTGCCACTCTGGTTAGTGGGGGAAACAAGAACAAAATTTTTTGCCTTAAGCACCCAAGGAGGGAAAAAGAAAAGTAAAAAGCCTGAGGAAATTCCAACTGCAACCCCTTTTACCATACATACTGATTTATTAAAAAAATATGGATATTGATCTAGTATCTATATCCAACTGTGACGGACAAAAACTCTCTAACAGTTTAAAGTTAGAAAGTGTATGTTTATTCGACGCCGGGCAGTGTGCGGGATAGCTCCCAAATACACACCACACCTTCCAGGTGATTACAGAGTCTTTTTATCCATACAAGTATTGAATATACAAAATACAAATACATATTCATCATTTTGGTACATCCCATTCCCCGCTTCGTATGCTAATCACTCCAAAAGCTATTAAGCATGCGTAGTTTGTCCCTTGAAATGGGTCGGTGGTCCCTTTTATGGGGAGGGGTCCCAAAATGAGGAAGTAAATGAAGTCTTCCTCGTTCTGACCTTTCTACCTTTTCAATGCAAGTATGACAAATGAACTCTTGGTAGAACTCCCATTCCTTGTCTTCAATTGGTTTCAGAACAGAGGAGGCCCACAATTGTCTTATGTTCCTAAAAGCTTTTTATCAGTTTCTATATTCTTCATTATAAATCCAGCTAACCAAACATTGTGCTGACAAGCAATCAATTATTAGTTAACTACTAACTCCTAACTTCATCAAGGCCTACTCATTTATTATTATAATTTTAATTAACTCTAGTAAGGCTTATTTCTCTTAGCTCCTCAAAATCTCTAAATGCCTTAAAGTTTACGTTTCATTCCCCACTTCTTCTTTGGAATGAGTAAATTCTTTTACTCAATACATAGACCTTTCTTCATCTGCCCAAGACATGTGTCTAGTTTCTTTCAAAACTAAGCCATATGCTTTTGATAGTGAAGTTAGGGCTGTCATTTGTCGTATCATTTTCCAATTCCAAACAAGTATTACAACAGACAAAATCAAGCTTATACTAACTAAAATAAGCAACACAATAATAGGATGAATTAAAGTATTAAGTATGCCGGTTGCTGTTGGTGACAATCCAAAAAGCACATCCCACCAATGATGAGACAAGTGTTCTTCAAATCGTTTAAAAACTCCTTTGATGGTCTCTGTGTCATGGTGTATAGTAATTAAAGTCTTTTTCCCTGCGTCTCTAATCTCTTTTAAAATTTCTCTCAGTTCCTGATGTTTTAACAATTGAGCAACTAAAGTCAAATTCATTCCTATGGGCACGGGCACTATCTCTTGTACAGTAATTAAATTGGCTTTTATATACTGGTGTGATACTACAGGTGCCTGATATGAGAAGTCACATCCCTCAATTTTAACAAAGTTACAGACACATAGATTGAACTGAGTCTCATTCATGCTTAGATTGTCTATCATTATGGTGGGGCATGCTGTTCTGAGACAGACACAACCTTGTCCTACATATACAAGCAAAGTTGTTTGGTTGCCTGAATGCGTTTCAAAGTGGCAAATGCTTTGGTCCGTATCTAAACATGTATCTTTATTACTTTCTAATGTCCCCTCACATATGTACCCCAGTTGTCTCCTCATAGAACAGGGCTCTAGGTTGATGGTTTGCCACTTTCCTCTGATTTCTCGCGCCCATGTTCTATGTTCAGAAGGATATAACACAGCCCCCTCATGGTTTAATCCTAGGGGCACTATAGGATGAATTAAGCTCACTGATGCATTATGTATTGTTAAGACAAAGGCTGTTACTTTACTTGTCATAGGGTTATAAGTGAAATTGACCAAAGTCCACCAAGCTTGTAGTTCCCTTTCTATATCAGATGCACTATCCCAAACAATTTTACGGAGTTTGGCAGGGAATATTCCCTCCCCACCTTCCCTGATCACTGCAGCAGCTACTGACTGCATCCATAGTTGTGCTTGGGTACACCCAAGAGCTAGTGAAACATTTTCGCTAGCTGTGCCTAATGCATTAATTATTAATTCATGGTCTCGCTCTTCAGTATTTTCCCCTTCTGGTAATACTTTGGATAACTTCCAATGGTTGTCACCCAGTGCTAGTAGGGAAGATTGCAAAGGTTGCTGTAATTTAACTAAGTCGTTCCCTACTGTTGTTAGTTTATTCATCAGTACTTCTGAATCTATGGTATTTAGCACTCCTAGTCCAGTCCCTAGCAGCCCAGTGAGATCTCTTTAACTCTTAAAGTTGGAGGGCATTTGTTTTTGAAGCCAAGTGGCCCAGTCCATGAAAGGATTTCTGAGAAATGGGGCGCACTCTGGCCGGACATCTGAAGCATTTACCTGTATTCCCATTTCTACTCGCTTCAGAGACCATTCCAGATTGACCAGCAGTCTTTGGATTCCCGTTTTCTTAATAGCATACGGCCCAAGTTTAGTAATCGTAGGAGCTATAGGCTGCTCCTCTACTTCTGGGATAAGTGGCTGTGGGGTAGTAATAGCTTTCTTTTGTATTGGAGGGGTAGTTCTAGTCCTGTTCTTATGATATTCAACACACACTTGAGTGATATTAAAATCAAGATCATAGCCTCTTATTGCACATCCCTCTAGTTTTAGTCTAAATTCAGGACATTTACTCAAACATTTGTCACAGCATTCGGGGCTAATTCGAATGAGTTTCATGGGTGGTTGGTAAGCCTCATGGAACCCATCTTGCACAAATGCATAGTTACATCCCCAAACATTTCTCCCTTCCCACAAACGTGCATTTGTAACCTTTATAATCTCATTCAGGGCCCTACGAGAGTGGGGATCATAGGCCCTTCCTTGACACTGATATATTCCAGTTACGTTGTACTTGTGTGGTATTGTATTGGCTCCTGTTACAACTGTGGCAATAGTGATAATAGTTACGACCTTCTCCATCATGTCCATAATTTCTATAGGTCCATTTATTCGCTGTTGCAGGTGAGCTTCAACTTCAGCTCGTTGTCACCTGGTGTCACTTTCCAGACTCCCTCAGGAACTTTCTTCACTCGGGAGTGATGGATCCAGGCTTTCTGTTCTTTGATCTTGATTGCAGTAAAGGTAGTGAGGAGCACTAGGTAGGGTCCTTCCCACTGTGGTTCCAGGCTTTTTTCTGCAAAAGACTTAACATATACATAATCCCCAGGTTGTACATCATGTACTGGCCCATCTAATTCTCTGGTCTGAGCTCCAGCAAAATATTTTTCAATTTCCCTTAATTGTTTGTTCAGGGCTACTATATATCTATGTCTTGAACTGCATATGGTCTCCCATATAATATTTCAAAGGGGCTCAATTTTTCTTTTGTTCTTGGTTTTGTCCGGATTCGCAATAATGCTAATGGGAGAGCTTGGGGCCAAGGTAGGTTTGCCTCTTGTCCCAACCTTACAATCTGTTGTTTAATCAAATGATTCATCTTCTCCACTTGGCTACTCGATTGAGGATGATATGGGGTATGTAACTCCCAATCTATCCCCAGGTGATGGCTAATTTGTTGCACAATTTTGGAGATACAATGCGGCCCTCTATCTGAGAATATGGTTGCTGGAACTCCAAACCTCAGTATTATTTCTTGCAACAGTGCTTTGGTTACTTCTCGTGCTTTAGCAGTCCTAGTAGAAAAGGCTTCTGGCCAACCCGAAAAGGTATCAGTCAATACTAGGAGATAACGATATCCCCCCTTCCTAGGTAATTCTGTAAAATCGATTTGCCACTGCTGCCCAGGTCCACAACCTTTCCCAATTTGTCCAACTTTAGGCCTTGGGATGTTTTTAGGATTAGTTCGGAGGCAAAGGCTACACTGACGAGTTACTTGTATTATTGTGCCCTGTAATTTCCTAGCTATATTTTTTCCTTTCAGATGGTTATACAGGGCATCTATTCCCCAGTGTGTTTTTTCATGCTCCTTTTGCACTAATGACCACAACAAATAGGAGGGCATCACAAGTCTCCCTTCCTCTGTTATAGCCCATCCTTCTTGATTAAAATTTGCTTTTTCTGCCTTAATAAGTTTCTTATCCTTTTTATTGTACACAGGCTTACCTTCAATAGAAATCTTTCCATCTGGGATTAATGTTGCTTCCACTGTCTCCTCAAATACCTCACCTTTGGCTGCGTCTTTTGCCTCTCTGTCTGCCAGCATATTCCCTTCTTCCAATTCAGAGCTCACTTTTTGGTGTGCCTTAATGTGCATGATGGCTACCTTCTCAGGTAGCTGCACTGCATCTAGTAGTCTCAGTATCTCTTGTGAATGTTTAATATTCTTCCCTTGCGAATTCAACAGTCCTCTCTCTTTCCAAATGGCTCCATGTGCATGAACTACCCCAAATGCATACCTTGAGTCTGTGTAAATGTTAATCTCTCTTCCTTTTGCCAACTCTAAGGCTCGAGTTAAGGCGATTATTTCGGCCTTCTGTGCAGAGGTGTTTGCTGATAGCGGTCCAGACTCTATTACCTCTCTGCTTGTGGTAACCGCATACCCAGCATGCCTTTTCCCACTGATGACATAGCTGCTTCCATCAGTAAACCAAGTCTCAGCACCTTCGAGTGGGATGTCCTTCAGATCTGGACGGCTGGAGTAGGTGGCTTCAATGGTCTCCAGACAGTCATGGATCACTGGTTCTCCCATACCCCCACTGAGAAAGGAAGCTGGATTCACAATGTTAGTTACCACAATTTCAACATCATCCTGTTCTACTAGTATAGCTTGGTACTTCAGAAACCTCTGTGGAGAGAGCCAATGTCCCCCTTTTGCCTCAAGGACTGCAGACACTGTGTGAGATACTAGCACAGTCATCTTCTGGCCCAGGGTGAATTTGCGTGCTTCTTGGATGTTCACTGCCACTGCTGCAATGGCTCTGAGACACCCTGGCCATCCTTTAGCTGCCGTATCCAGCTGTTTGGAGAGATAAGCCACTGCTCTCCGGTACGGGCCTAAGTTCTGTGCTAGTATTCCCAAGGCGATCCCTTGTTTTTCATGGGAAAACAGGAAAAATGGTTTACTCACGTCTGGAAGTCCTAAGGCTGGAGCTGACATGAGGGCCTTCTTTAGTTGGTCGAAGGCTTGGGTTGCTTCCTTTGTCCACTGGAGATCTCTGCTCTCTTCTGTGATCAGGGCATACAGAGGTTTAACAAGTAACCCATAGTTATAAATCCATAGTCTGCACCACCCTGTCATGCCTAAAAAGGTTCTCAGTTCTTTCACTGTCTGAGGTCTCGGGGTCTGACATATTGCTTCTTTGCGATCTTGGCCCAAGGTCCTTTGTCCAGCACTCAGTTCATAACCCAGGTAAATGACTGTTTGCCTCACCATCTGGGCTTTCTTCTGGGATACTCGATACCCCTGCAAGCCCAAAAAGTTTAGGAGGCTTACCGTCCAATTTACGCATGTTTCCTGGGTCTGGGTGGCTATCAGGAGATCGTCCACGTACTGAAGCAACTGTCCTTCTCCTGGTGGAGGTTCCCAAGATTCTAAATTCTTGGCAAGCTGTTCCCCAAATATAGTAGGAGAGTTCTTGTATCCCTGTGGTAATACACACCATGTGAGCTGGTTCCTCCATCCAGTTTTGGGGTTCTCCTGTTCAAATGCGAAAATTTTCTGGCTGGCTTCGTGGAGAGGGAGGCAAAAGAAAGCATCCTTTAAATCTAAAACGGTAAACCATGTTAGTTCAGGTGTTAAACGAGTTAACAAGGTATAAGGGTTAGCAACTACTGGGTACAAGTCTTCAGTTACCCTGTTAATAGCCCTTAAATCTTGTACTAACCTGTATGACCCATCAGGCTTCTTTACTGGCAAAATGGGGGTATTAAAATTAGATTGACACTCTTTTAACAGTCCTATTTGCAAAAAATTTTCTATAATTGGGCTAATCCCTTCCCTATCTTCTTTCTTCAGGGGGTATTGTTTAACCCTCACTGCCCGTTCCCCCTCCTTAAGCTTGATTTGTATAGGTACTGCATTCTTTGCTCTCCCTGGTATATTAGAAGCCCATACCCCAGGGAATACTTGATCCATTATTTTCCTGAAGTTTTTCTCTTCTTCACTTACAGCTTCAAGTTCTTTGGTTATTAACATTAGGCTCAACAACTCCACATATTGTTGGTCCTTTACCTCCAAGCTAATGTCTCAATTTTTAAATATTATTTTTGCATCCAGCTGCTCTAGCAGACCCCTGACCAAAAGTGCAGATGGAGCATTAGGCATATATAAAAACCAGTGAATTCCCCATTGCTTTCCCAATTTATATTTTAACAGTTTGCAAAAATATGCTCTTTCAGATTGGCCAGTAGCCCTTTTTACCATAACATAATCATTTGTTAAAGGTATTAGGGCCTTATTCAACACTGAAAATGTTGCCCCTGTGTCTACTAAAAATTCCACTTCCTTTTCTTTATTCCCTAGTTTAACTATAACCAGAGGGTCCCCTAGGGTAGGGCCCTCCGGTCCTCCTCAGTCCTCCTTCGCATGAGCAACCACTCTTTCTCCCCCCCGATCGCTTTTTCTCTGTTCGTCACCTCTTCTTCGTTCTGCACACTGGTTCTTCCAGTGTCCAAATTTCCTGCAAAATGCACATTGATCTTTTCCCAGTCGGGGTGGTCCTTGTCTTGGCGGGTCTTGCTCACATTTTTCCTTTCCTTCTTCCCTTGCTACTGCTACTAATTTCTTCATCCCTTGTTTATATCCTTCCTCCCGGTTACTAAAGACTCTCCATGCTTCATCTAATAGAGTCTCCAAGTCTCGGCTATTTGGGCCCCGGATCTTCTGAAGTTTCCGCCTGATATCTCCTGTGGATTGTCCTAAAAACAAATTTATTAGTTGTTGTATTCCTTCCTCTGATCCAGGGTCCAGAGTGGTGTATCGCCGCATCGCGTCCCGTAGGTGATCTAAAAAATCAGAGGGTGTTTCAGCGGGACCTTGTTTAACAGCATATAAAGCTGACCAGTTTATGGTCTTAGGAATTGCTCGTTCTAGTCTTTTCACTATAAAGTCTTGATATCTCTTAAGCTGTGCTAATTCATCAGGTTCATTGGGATCCCACATCGGGTCCTGAAGAGGAAATACATCTTTAATATCCTCTTGTGTTGATACGCAAACGTCTTCAGCTAAGTCCTTGGATACCTTTAAAACTAACTGCTTCTCTGTTTCTGTTAAAGCATTAAGTAGTAACTGCATGTCTGCCCAATCAGGTAAATGCTGCTTAACCATAAACTTTAACTTTTTGGCAACACCTATCGGGTCATTTCAATAACCCTTAGCAGTCTTTTCCCAAGCCTCTAAATCTATCGAGAAAAAGGGGACCTTAATTATCCTTGGCTCCACATCAGAGGCTATAGCTTGCCTTAAGGGTGCTTGTATGACTCCTTTAGTTTGCTTTCTAGTTGTTTGTGGGGGTGGGTTCATTCTGGTTTGCCTTCTGGTCCTTGACGCTATTGGACCTTGTGGGGAAGGCTTGGGACTTGGTTCAGATTCATCCCATTCACTATCACTACTGGGCAATGGTGGATAAAACCTCGAGGGTTCCCCTGATCTAGGAGTTGGTGGGGAAACTCTTGCTTTAATTACTGTTTTTTTCAGAGTAGACGAACCAGAGGATAGGTTAGGGGAGACTGAAGTTGGTGAGGGTTCTGATTTCACTCGTTCCCCCACCCTCTCTTCTACTCCCCTTCCTTCCTGGTTTCTAGGTGGTGGTAAAAGTGCCTCCGCTGTCCCTTGTTCTAAGATCTCTGTTGTATACACTTTACTTGGGTGTGAGCATCTTTGATTTATTGAACATGTGCTGCAACACCGTTTGAGCTTTTCCTCGTTAGCCTTAGTATCCTTTTCAAGAGCCAGTACCAGTGGATCAGACGGTGGCCTAATCCCACAGTCCCTTTGCCACTCAGGGTGATTTCGAAGACTGAAAAACATATCAGCATAAGTTACTTCTTGCCACTTTTGTTCACGCCTAACGAAAAGCATTAACTGTAATAAAGTCTCATAGTCTAAAGTACCATTTGCTGGCCATTTCAACCCCCCATCAAGTCTATAGAGTGGCCACCACTGTGTAGAAAATTTAACAAGTTCCCTTTTAGTTTCACTACCACCATAGCCCACCAGCGCTTTCCAGTGTGTTAAGATACACCTTAAAGGGGTTCCTCTGGGAATCCCTTTGCTCTCATTTGCCCCCATGTTCAGGGTTTTTTTCTTTTCAAAACGTCTTTTGATCTTATCCCAGTTCTTAAGCTTTACCTGGTATTCTTCTGGTACAAAAATATGCTGGCCACACTCAACTCTAAGTATTTCCACTGGTTTCTTCAAAGTTCCTGAAACTCCGTTTTCCAACAATTCAAATATTTTACTGCTACCAGGAACCTCTTGACCAGTCACCAACAAAACTTGTATAACTTTCTGGGTAGCCTCTTGTTCTTTTGAACGACAAAAAGCACAAATTCCAGTCTTAGGTATTAGCCACCTGTACCCTTTTCGGACCCACAAATCCTGACAGACTACACACTGAAATACAATCCACGGATTACAATAACAATCTTTATTTGGGCAGGGGAATATTCCTGGACCAGGCTTTCGGTTCCTGTTTCTCCTGGTCCTGGTCATATAGCTATGCTAGCAAACAAAAGGGATAAAACAATTTGTTAGTTAATTTTCACCTTTTCTCCCTTCAAAACAAGGTTCAGAGCAGCAGCTGTAAAGGAAAAACTTGTTATACAAAAGAAAAAGGGAAAAAGAAAAAATACAAAGAAAAAACAACAAAAAAAAACTTCACTCATTAAATCAAATCCTCTGTTATGTTTTGCTCTGGGTATATTACTGTAAAAATTTGTTTAAAAACTGTAAGCAAACTTTCATACACTGTAGCAAGTTTGCAGCTAAAAGCCAAGCGTATCTCCTGTCACACTGTAAACAAAGGACAAATGGAAATCTTACAAACTGTCAGTCCAGTTTCGACCGAAATTTCGTGACTCCACACTGCACTGAGAGCTGTGTGAACCACTACTATAGCCTGTTCTAAAAATTTTCGGATTTCTGACCAAATTTCTCTCACCCTTTGATTGAAAATGTTACAAAATGCAAAGTTCAGCTGCGTATTCGCAGCTGCAAAACCAGGTTTCTCTTTTTCCAGGAGGACCTAAATTCTAATAGTTTAGGCTCACAAAAAAACACCCTGGGGTTTTTCACAACCCCGAACACATTCAACAAATGTTCTAACAAGGTCTTGCTAAAATCACACAAACTTCAGTCAAAACACAACACAAATCTTTCAACAAGGAGTGAAGGGGAGGGAGGAATAAACTACCAGCAAACACTCACTCACTAAACCTGGGGTTTTCCAGGCAGTTGAAAAATGTATCTTGAGGTCACAGAGCCTGAATTCTCCTCTAGTTATCTGGGAGACAAATGACTTCCTAATCACCAGGACTATCTTAAAAGTATTTTAGGCTTTTCACTTCACCCTCTAGCTATAAAACAAAAATTCAACTTACAAAGCTTTTCATCCAACAACATATCAAATAAAATTTTCACAGCCAAAAGCGCACGCTGCCCAAATTCACACAAATACACACAACCTAAGCACCATGCAAATACTTTAAATCAGTCTGCACTCCCAAAGGTCAGTATTTCTTTGCAAAGCAAATAACAATTTCACAAACTTCTTACAACTTCAAGTTCACAAAGCTCCTAAAAACACTTACAAAAATTAATAACACACGCCAAATCACACAAATTATAATGCTCACAACACTAACTCTTACAAACCACAACAAATACAATGCTCAAATAGTTTTCCACAGCCTAAACACACAAAATCACAAACTCACTAAACAAACACGGATCCGGTTACAATACACACATACAGCACTTGGGGCCACAACTCAAATTGTCACAGCAGGACGCTTCGTGTCCCAAAGTTCAGACTAACCACCCAAATTATGGATTAGTAAGGTGCACCTTTCAAATTACAAACTGAGATCAGAGCCACCCCTGCTCCAATCCAAATCCACAACACCACAGCCGCTGCCTCCTCTACGAGACACAGACTGCTAAACCTCTGGTACTGCTGCCTCCTCTACGAGACACAGACTAAAAAACTTCTGGTGCTGCTGCCTCCTCTACGAGACACAGACTACAAAACTTCTGGTGCTGCTGCCTCCTCTACGAGACACAGACTGAAAAACTTCTGGTGCTGCTGCCTCCTCTACGAGGCACAGACTGCTAAACCTCTGGTGCTGCTGCCTCCTCTACGAGACACAGACTACCAACCTCGGATACGAGACGTCTCTCGTGTCTTTTTAACTGCCTATATAATAAGGTACCTTCCCCCAAATATAAACATACCTCTTGTCCGTAGTCCAGCAGGTTCTGGTCTTTCCCCGGGTAGTCAGCGAGATCACAGGATCCCTCTTCCCAGAAATTTCTGGGTGGGTGCCCAGAGGGGTCCTGGACCCCACTGGCCCCACGGCCAGAGAGAGCAGTCCTCCTGGCTGGCTCGCCAAAATGATTTATTAAAAAAATATTGATCTAGTATCGATATCCAACTATGACGGACAAAACTCTCTAACAGTTTAAAGTTAGAAAGTGTACGTTTATTCGACGCCGGGCAGTGTGTGGGATAGCTCCCAAATACACACCGCACCTTCCAGGTGATTACAGAGTCTTTTTATCCATACAAGTATTGAATACACAAAATAGAAATACATATTCATCATTTTAGTACATCCTATTCCCCGCTTCGTATGCTAATCACTCCAAAAGCTATTAAGCATGTGTAGTTTGTCCATTGAAATAAGCCGGTGATCCCTTTCATGGGGAGGGGTCCCAAAATGAGGAAGTAAATGAAGTCTTCCTGGTTCTGACCTTTCTACCTTTTCAATGCAAGTATGACAAATGAACTCTTGGTAGAACTCCCATTCCTTGTATTCAATTGGTTTCAGAACAGAGGAGACCCACAATTGTCTTATGTTCCTAAAAGCTATTTGTCAGTTTCTATATTCTTCATTATAAACCCAGCTAACTAAACATTGTGCTGACAAGCAATCAATTATTAGTTAACTACTAACTCCTAACTTCATCAAGGCCTACTCATTTATTATTATTATTTTGATTAACTATAGTAAGGCTTATTTCTTTTAGCTCCTCAAAATCTCTAAATGCCTTAAAGTTTACGTTTCATCCCCTTTGGGTAGGATTTTCCCTAGCATGTAGGGGTTGGGCCTTCCTCAGACCCTTGACAGAGATAAAGAGTTTTTTTCTTGTTTCCCTTTGTCTCTAATCTCTTTTCAACAGTTTGTTGTTTGTTTTTCTAGAGGAAGCGTTCTATGTAAGGTCCAGTCTGGATCAGGAAGTGCTTGGGAGCAGCTGCAGCGTGGATGGGCCGTGCCCTTGGAGAAGGCTGAGGACATCGTTTGGGACCAGCTTTTCTCCCAGCGGTGGATGGCGTGAGGTGGGTCCTGTCTGCTGGGGATGGTGGGGTCAGAGCTTTGGGGAGATGGCAGCGAGCACAAGGAGTCTCTTGCTCTGGGCAGCTGCTGAGGGCTGGATGTGCCGTGGCTGGCTGCAGGCTGGGAATGTCCTGCCCTCCTGCTCTGCTCCCAAAGGCAGCAGTGATGGGCAGCTCTGGGCACAGCTCTGGGCACAGCCAGCATGGCCTGGGCTCTGTGGGCAGCTGGGACAAGGGGACAGCAGCCTTCAGCTGACGGGTGGTTTCTGGTTTCTCTCCTTGCAGCCGGGCTCTGCGGGTGCTGAGGCTGCTCTGGGCCCTGCCAGGGCTCTGCTGGAGCTCAGCACCGGGCCACAATCAGCCAAAGGAGAAATGGGGTGCCCTGCAGCACAGACTTGCTTGAGCATTTCAGCAACACAGTTCAAGTTTGCAGAGTGTACACCTCCAAGGGAAAACATGGCACCACCCAAGAAATAAACTTGTTCAATAACTTCTGAAATTAAATCAATCTGGGATGACCCCAAATGACATTTTGCAGCTTGCTCAAGCTGTAGCTCAGCCCTTCTCTGACCAGTTCTCTCCCCCACCTGCCTTTTACTCCCCAACTGCTCCCTATTTTCCGTCAGTGAGCTCCCAGCCCATTCCAGTCTCCATCACACTGTTGCCTTCCTTGGTGCCGCTCACCATGAGGAAGGCCGAGCCCCAGGCTTAGGGACTCATCCTGTCACTGGCTGAGGAGCAGCAATGTCTCAGAGCTCCGGTGGGATTTTAGTGTCATTCAGAGCTGCTCTCCAGCCCCCAGCTCTCCTCACTGCTGAGTTCCCACTCCCTTTTCCTCATCCTTGCAGCAGGATGAGCTCTGTGAATCCCCTTGAGCCTCCCCACTCTTCCCAGCCCACGCACCCACCTCAGTTAGGCTGAAGCTGCAGCTTCTCTGTCTCCTCTGGCACAGCAGTGCAGTCCCCTGTGCGGGGAGCCCCAGCCCCAGAGCACAGCACTCAGCAGTGCAGTCAGGGCTGGAGCAGCTGCCCTGCAGCCCTGGCTTGGCTCTTTGTGGCAGGGAATGCTCCCTGTTTGCAGCTGTCCCTGCAGGATGGCCCCAGGGCAGAGCCCAGCCGGGCTCCCACTGCAGCCCCTGAAGCTGTGAAACCAGTGAAATCATCCAGACTGGGTTTTTCAAAGGCCCTTAGAAGGAAGGGCTTGAGAATAAACGTGCTCTGTTTGCCACACGAACATCGGGGTGAGTGGTCTCTTTGGCTCCAACCCACTTTCCTCCCTGAGCCAGCGTTACCCACTCCCTCACACGTCCCCCCAGTGCCTTCCCACTGCCTTGTCCTGTCAGGGCTTCCGCAGCCCCTCATCCTTTTGTGGCCCCGTCCCCTCAGGGTCTCCCCCAGCCCGGCCAACCTGCCCGGCAGCAGCGCCGCAGCCCCACAGGAGCTCCAGAGGAGCCCCATCAAGAGGCACCTGGGAGCCCTCAGCAATCCAGCCAGCAACACACGGGCAGGAGGACACAGATGGCGCTTCCTGCCTGGGACAGGGCTTGTGGCCATCTCCAGGCACCGGTCTCACAGAGATCCCCACAGCTCCAGCCCCTGCCCATCTGCTCTGTCAGCAGCACAAAGGCTTCAGCAGAACCACCAAAGGCCAAGGGGCTTCTGGCCATTTTCCCTGCAAACCTGCATGCCTGGGCAGCTTGCTGAGCCCAGGAACCCTTTTCTCCCTCTTCCCCATGGCCCTGCAGAGCCTGGGCAGCAAAAGAAAGATCCTGGGAGTCTGTCTATTACAACACATCCTATATTTATATGCTAAAGGAAAACAAAAAAAAGGAAAGAACAATCTTGAAGAAATTAAACATTCCTGCTGGCTCAGGTGGCCCCAGCAGACAGAATCTCTGGGATCAGCTCTCTGCAGAGCTCCAGCAGCGCAGCCAGCCGAGCCCCGACAGACGAGGCCGTCTCCTCCATGCCCTGCAGAGCCGATCATGCAGGTTGCCAAAGATGGAATATGGAGCTCTCTCTGTTCCCTGGAGGACGTACAATGTTTGAATTGCCAGGCTTCCGACGGCGACACTGATGTCATTGGCCATGCCTTCAAGGGCTGAAAGAGAGAGGAACAGAGCCATGGTCAGTTCCCGCATCTGAGGGGACCCGAGGAGACTCTGTGCCAGGGCCATCCCAGCCGGCTCTGGCCATGGACAGAAGGGAGCAGGGACCAGCTGGATCAGCCCGAAGCTGCTGGCCACGAATCCCCCAGGTGCCCTGAAACCTCTGTGTGCTCTGCCCACGCCGGCCCTGGTCCGCACAGGGAGCAGAGCCCTCCGCAGCCGGGGCAGGGCTCCCAGCTCCCCCGCCAGCCCCCGCTGGCAGCCCGCTGCCCTCACTCACCCTCAGAGATGAGCTGGAGCTCTTTGGTCCTCCCCCTCAGGTACTGCCCGGCCGTCCCTGGGAACACAGAGCCTGTCAGGCCCAGCGGCACAGCTCCCTGCCAGCGGCGCTGCCAGCCCTGTGCCCACACGGCCTCCTGGCCCGGCAGGGCTCGGGCCGGGCCCTCGCCGCTCGCTGCCGCCCCAGGGCACGGCTGGAGAGGGCGGCAGCAGCGCCCAGGGCAGGCGGGGCTCCGCGGCACCGGCCCGGGGCTGGGGCCGAGCTGCGGCGGGGCGGGGAGGGAGCTCGGGCTCCTGGCTCACCCATGAACCTGACGGCCGCCTCTCGCAGGGGCTGCTGTAGGTTCTGCAGGTAGGGCAGGGCCCGGCGCAGGTGCTCGGCCACTCTGCTCCTGTCCTCTGCCAGCTGCAGAGAGCGGCAGCAGGGAAGGGTTGGCGCGGGCTCAGCCCCTGGGCCGGGCGCTCTCCGCGCCAGCCCCGGCCTCCCCTGCCCGCACAGCCCTGAGGCGCGGCCAGCAGCCGCCGGCGCCGGGCTCTGGAGGGGGCAGAGGGCCGGCTGCTGCCCGGGGAGCCGCGGTGCCGCCCCGCAGCCCCGCCGGGCCGGGGCTCCATCGGCACCCGGCTCGGGCCGCAGGAGCCGGCACGGCCTCGGGCTGCAGCAGCGGGCAGGGGCACAGCTGCCAGCCTGCACACCGAGCACCGCGCTCAGGGGGCTTCTCCAGCCTGGGGCTGCGGCTTCCCGGCCCTCCTTACCAGCCACTCTGTGAACTTCCACAGCTTCTTGCTCTTCACCAGCTTTTCAAGTTCCGTCCTCTTCAGGAACTCGGCCGCACACAGAAGCGTTTCCTGAGAAGCCTGGAGAGCAGCAGAGACGTGGAGATGGCCCCACAGCCCAGGGCGCAGGACCTGTGTCCCTGTGCCAGGGCCTGGAGGAGGCTGCAGCCCACGAGGCGCCAGGGCAGGAGGCAGCCCAGCCCCCTCCCAGGGGAACAGCAGCAGCCCACGAGTCCTCACCTGTGCCACTCGCTGATTCTCATCATGGCAGTGGAAGAAGAGTGGCAGCAGGCTCTGGTGCACGTGTGTCTTCAGGGCCTCTTTTTCCTTTTCTTGTGGAAGAGTCACCAATGTTCCAAGGAGCACTATGGAGAGCAGCTGCACCTGGCTATTGTCCTGTATGAAGGGAAGAAAAAAGACCTCAGCATCGGCTGCACGGAGCTCTGCTTGGTGCAGGCCTGCAAATCCGCAGGGCACAAAGTGTCCGGGCAGCAGCCAGTGGCCATGGCTGGGGGCAGTGAGCCTTACGTGGTCAAGGAGTGGCAGGAGAGCCTCAACCAGCTGCAGTGCGATAGAGCTGGGTATCAGCATGTCCTTTTCCAAGATGATAAAGTTGAGGAGCATGGCTGTCATGCTAACTATCTCTCCATCTGCGTCCCAGAGGAGCTCCACAAGACTTTCAGTCAGGCTCCACATTTTTTTGCTCTGTGCGGAACACAAGTTTGTGAAACGCCATCCTGCTGCCGCAGGGCCTAGAGGCCAAAGGGCTGTTCTGAAGCACTTGGGCAGCTGAAGCAGGAGGCAGGAGAGCTGGGAGCAGCTGGCCCAGTGCCCAAAGCCCAGCCAAGCCCAAGTGACTGCATTCCCGAGCGCAGCCTCAGCCCTTGCCCCCTTCTCACCATCAAGGGATTGTTGATGAGATCAAGAAGGGCTCTGAGCACCAGGTGACACTTCTCTCTGCACCCGCTCTGCAGGTGCCTTGACAAGATTTGCAGGACTCTGTCAGCACCGCGTTCAGTCATGTCCAGGCACTTGAGGACCTGAAAGGCACAGGGCAGTGACAGGGGACCAGCCAGCAGGAGCCCAGAACCGCACAGGGCTGAGCCCAGGCAGCAGCACAGGGCGCGGGCTCCGTCCCAGGCAGCTGTGGCTACGAGAGGGCAGAGAGCCGGGAGGCAGCTGAGCGAGGCAGTGCTGGCCTTCAGGCTCACCTCCACAAAGAACGCCAGGGAGGGCAGCTCCCAGCGTGGCTCCTGTGTGCTGAGCAGCCGGAGCAGGTAGCGAGCGATCCGGGAGCACAAGGGGATGGAGACACAGGACATCTCCCTGGCAGGAGACAAAGTAACCAAGACTGTGGGCCAGGGGGACAAACCTCTCCCAGGACTGACTCACAGAGGTCTGGTCTTTCCCCAGCATCCTGCAAGGGCCCCTGGGCTATTTGGGAGGTGGCTCCTTGTGGGAACCCTCCTCTCCCAGCCTTTTCCAGTCTGCTTGGCTGTCCCTGGGTGACAAGGCCCTCTGGCCCGTGACCACAGGCACTGTATGGGGCACCCCAGGCACAGAGCACAAATGTCAGAGGCAGCGGGGAGAAGGGGGGTCTCACTTGGCCAGCAGACCCACGGCATGGTGGTAGGTGTCAGCACACAGCAGCTTGTCCCAGCCACACTTGCGTTCCATTGCCACCACCACATCCTCGTGCTGCATTTGGCAGAGCAGGGACTTCAGGGTCTGCACTGCAAACCTGTGTGCAGAGCAAAGCCCGGGTCACGCTGGGAGCACTGGCTCCTGCCCAGGGATGTGGCAAGGACAGGAGGACTGGCATGGAGCACCTGTTGGGGCTGGTGTCAAGGCCATATTGCTGCTGGCATCCCTTCCAGAAGGTATTGACCTCCTCTGGCACATCCAGAGTGCTGAAGAGCACTTGGAAGAGCAGATGCACAAATAGGTGGGGGAGATACACAGTCACCATATGTGGGACACAGGGCAGCTGGAGGATCTTCCACATCAGCACAGTTGCCTGCAAAGGACAGAGCAGCCCGAGACAGCGCTCAGTGCCGAGGTGTTCGTGTGGCAGGGCCCGAGAACGGGAGGGAGAGGCCCGGAGAGCCACAGGGGAGCACCGGGCCTGGTGGCCCTGAAGCTGCCCCGAGGCCAGGTTTCAGCCCAGCGCCTGAGGCAGGGAGACGCCGTGAGGGAGGGAGGATGGAGAGCTGCTGGAGAGGTGGCCTTGGGCCAGCAAAGGCCAGTTGCAGAAACTCACAGCCAGGACAAAGACACCCGTTTTGTCCCCATCGGAGGTGCACGTGCTGTGCTCTGGCCAGCTGCCCAGCACATCGAGGAGTACGAGCATGGCCGGCTCTGCAGTCCTGGGCGAACACATGATGCTCTTCCACATGGTCAAAGCAGCTCTGTGGGTCAGAGCTCTGTCTCAGGGGGGTCTGAGACACAGCACCGTGGCCTGGGCAGCAGTGGGGACCTGAGCTGGCTGCCAGCCCTGCCTCTGCCCACTGCCCCTCACCAGTAGCACTCAGGCAGCCCAGCCCTGTAGGGACGGGCCCCTGAGGGGCAGCGAGGGAGCAGCAGGCTCGGGGGCTGATGTGCCAGGGCTGGCAAAGGGAGCAGCCAGAGGGCCCTGGGACTCTCTGTTGGTCAGACACCTGGGACAGGCTGTACAGGCTGATGGGCTGGGGAGCCCTGAGCCCTCTGGGCAGGTGGGCCCCATACCTGTCACACAATGGGGCCACACGCAGGAGCGTCATGACTACGTCAGCGGGCCGTTCTTCGGTGAGATCCAGCAGGGTCCTGTTCAGCCTGTGCTCAGCAAACTGGTTGGCCTCGAGCCACTGGTGGATGTACCTCACCATGGCGGGCACCTGGAGAAGGCACGAGGAAACTTGGAAAGCTGCCAGAGGGAGGAATGTGCCCAGCTGCCCCAGAGAAGTGCTTCCCTTGCCACCACACTGCCATGGCCTCAAAGGCTTCCAGGGAGCAGCAGACGTGCCTTGGGAGGCCAAGTAATTCCTGGGAGGCTCAAAGCCTGGCCACAGGCTGCTTACTTGCTTTGGATTGGAAAACCCCTCCTCTACCAGCATATCAGCCAGGGCAGCACAGGTCTGGGTTTTGAAGATGTGCGAATATGCTCTGGGCCCTGTGCCCATGGTGGTCTCTTCCTCCCGGATCCTCTTCATGAATTTGCAAACCAGCTGTAGGAGAAGGGCAGGAAGCCAGGGATATTCCATGGAATTCTCCAAGCGTGGTGCTTGGCTGAGCAGTGCCAGCAGGCCCAGCCCAGGTGGGGATGGCTGCAGGTACCTGCGCTGTTCTGCGGAAGCGGCCACGGGTGCGTTTCTGCTCTTGTGTGCGCTCCACGGCTGCACCTGGCAAAGAGCGAGCGCAGCCCGAGCTGAGGGGCTGCGGGAGAGGCCGGAGAACACAGCCCAGCCCTGCACTGCCCAGGCAGGGACAGCCCTGCGACGCCCCAGGGCATGGAGCACGGCTGTGGGGTGTCTGCCCGGCCCCTATTCCATCCTGTCCATGGGCATGTCCCCAGGGGATGGGATGGGATGGGATGGGATGGGATGGGATGGGATGGGATGGGATGGGGCGAGGCCCAGCTGGCTGCAGCTACTAACCCTGCAGCCCAGCAGCCCAGCTCTGCCACTCACCCTCCTGCAGCTGCTTGAATGGCACCACTTCTTCAGTCTCGTGTGCAGGGGCAGCTCCAGGGCCTTCTTCCTCTTCCTCCACCCAGGCCAGCTTGGGCACTCTTGGGGGTCTCTGCTCCATGTCAGTGGCTGGATTTGTGGCTACTTGCAGGAGAGATTCCTCCAGGTAAGACACGAAGGAGTGCGCTGTGTGGGGGCTCCTCACAGCACTGCTCTGTCCCGTCCTGTCCTGTCAAGTGCTTGGAGCACTGTGGCATGGCCTTGTCACCGCCAGCTCCTATGTCACCACGTGTCACAAAGGGTCCTTTGACACGCTGTTCCATGCCATGGTGACCATGCTGCAGCATGTCACAAAGGGCCCCTGCACACACTGCCCCCTGCGCTATGGCCGCCTCCAGCCCACCCAAGATGGCCAGGTTAGAAGGAATCCCTCACCCCAAGTGTCCAAGACAGGCTGACAGAGTCTTTAGGAACGGCTCAAACCATCAGCAAACGCTGCCCTGCTCTGCGGGCTCAGGGCAGCAGGAGCCCCCGCAGCTGGGAAGTGCACAGGGCCTTCCACAGAAGCTGGCACTTTCAAGCCAAGGAATCTCAGAAACACGGGAAGCTGGACAAGACAAACGCACATCCAATCAATATGATTAATGCAACGTTCTCCGTTTATTCAAGATCAGGCGGTAGTTTATATAAGCTTCCACATAGTTTACAGAAACAAAGACACTCTAATTGGTAGGCTAACATTGTTTACCTTTTCCTTAAAACGGCCTACACCTTACACCATAAAACCCATACTAATTCACACCCAGACAACCCAGTGGTCCCCACAACACCTTAAGACTATTTTCTATCTGCGCCACAAGCTCTGAATTTCTAACTGCGTCAGAGGCTTTGAAGGCCCCACCAGGCCTCAATCTGAGGCCTAGACTGGAGTAGCTCAACTTTCACAATTCATGTCCTCTTTCTCTCAAAAATGCTGCAACAATTCCCTCTTTTTTCTTTTTGAGCTACTCAGGCTGGAGTGAAGGCGCAATGAACTAATTTTTGCACACACTGTAAAAAACACGGTATAACAATTAAAATAACTATAAAGATAAAAAAAGTACAATACCAAAACAAATTAAGTCTTTGACCCAGCCCAAAGAATTGAGCCAGTTATCAAATGAAGTGTCCATTTGGAGAACACTGCGTTTGGCTCGTTGAGTCTTCTGCGGCAATTCGAGAACCTGATGTATGGTGGGAACAAAAAGCATCAACCTACCGATATAACATGGGCCTCCCCTAGCATTTTGAGGGACTGCTGACCAGGCTCGGGTCCAAGTTTTGAACTCTGCAATGGGACCCAACGAGACTCCAATTAAGCAAGTATAAAAAGGGGTTAGAACAACAGGCAGAATTAATCTTGCCTAGTTTGTTTGGCCCAAGTGATCCACATATTTTCTCTCTTGTCAATGTCAAGGATTCCAGATACTTCAACAACCAAAACACTGCTTAATAAAAACATTGAGGCCCACCACATATTTCTCAGGTTTTTGAATGCCCTGTTTAACATGAAAGAAACAATCTTAATTCTAAACATAAACTATAACTTCTAATAAACTAACTTCTGATAAAACTAACTTCACACTTATAATATTTCAACTTATTTTTCTGTACTCTACAAAATTAATTTTCATCAGAACTGGATTCATCAGGAATGTTCCAGGCAAACTGTTGTTGTTCACGTTGTTATCACTGCGGGTTGATATCTTTTTCATCTATTTTTAAAATTCTGCTTCTGCCTTTTCGTATCAATGCAGCAAGAGCATCTGTCCTGTCCATCACACGACTTCTTGGTTGGATGGGTAAAAACACTCACTCAAGTAGAATTTCTGCTGATCCACGTTGGGACCTCCCTCTTTTTCTTTTGCCATTGAAAGACAATGGCAAGATGAACAGAAAAATCACAGGCATTACTAAAACTTATTAAAACTTAGCAAAAAAATTCTATAACATCATTAAAAACACACTTATAAAAAAAAACTCAAAGCCCACGATCTTCTGTGGGTGAAACACAAATCTTTGCACAATCCACTTTTGCTGTGCATCCTCTGATCCACTTGAGGAGAGATCAGTGCCCTCTTGCAATTGATAAGTTCCACATTCTTCACTGAAATCCATCTAGATTCTGCACCTGTTAAAACACAAACAAACCCAACACCCCCACAGAGACTGGAGGGCCTTCTCTCAATTCTGTTCCCTAAAACTTGCATGAAGAAATGGAAATATCAACATCTTTGTTATAAACATGAAAAACATTAAGAACAAAATAATGCATATGGTAAAGAAACTAACAACAAATAAAAATCAATCAAATAATACACAATCAATATTACATATAAAATCACAGTTACCAAGTGCTACACTATCAAATTGTCATCCCAGAGTCTGCAGCAGCTGAAAAACCTTAAAACAACAGAGATTTGGATAAAACATGTCCGGATCATGTCTCTCCAAAACCTCCTTTGAGGCTCAGCTGTCCTGTATGGTCAAATTGTCAAGCCAAAAGGACTTGAATACTTTTTTGATGCAGAAAACACCTGGATCAATCACACCATCCACGTAGAGCCAGAGCTTGGCCAGAGCTCGAACTCTAATTGGAGGATATGTTTAAAACAAAAGTCTTAAAAATAACAGTTATAAGTGAAAAACCTTATTATTAACAATTTATCAAAACATCAAATGATTGAACCTGTCTAAAATTTGTTTCAAGACAAAAATTCTCTAAATACAACAAACCTTTTCTTCAAAAATCTGAGAATTTGAAGTCTGAAATCTTGAACCAGAACTTGGACTATAAATTTTTAAAAGATGAACTGCAGCTGCATAGAAAATTGAATAAAGAAAACACATGAGTAGTTAAAAAATCAAACACACAGGATCCTGAAAAACACATCTTACAATCAATCACTCAAAAAACTCATAAAACATATGAAAACTGACTGTAAATATTAAAACAACACCTCAATACCTTAACATCTTAATAATAATTCTTATCACAAAAATCAGACAACTTACATTATATGATCAACCTATTAACAAGAAATGTTTAAAATAGTTTAAAACAATCTTGTCAAGCATTCATATAACATTAGTAACAATCACTACTTATCATTACCTATAAAAACTTGACAATTATTATTTATCTTATTATCTATAAAAACTCAAAAACAGAAATTGTGAACTCAATGCCAACATTCCATCTGACTGACTTTTCTCAAATCTTTGTTTTCAAAGACATTTTTAGCAATTAAATCATTATTAACATTTCTATCCTTTTTTTTTTTTTTTCTTTTTTTTTTTACAGTAATTTTCATCCACATTGTATTTGAAATAACTTTGATTTGCATAATGTCCATCCCTCTTGGCATCATGGAAAACACTCAGTATTGCTATACTTTTTCATTACGTCTTTTGTCTCCTTGTGTTGTTGCTTGATAAAGCAGCTGCAATGATGTGTCCTTGTTGTTGAATTGCATCCTGGATGGTTGCGGTGAATGCTGCAGCTTGGTTGCTCTGTTCTGCGCGTGTGGCTCTGACAAGCATCTCATCGACTGGACAGCCCTGAGGGAGGGTGGCTAGGATGGTTCTGGTGGGTGGGTTAGCATTCTCAAAAGCAAGGGATCGGAATAAATGTTCCTGAACGTCTGGTGGCACGTCAGGTGCATCCTTTAAAGCAGCTGACAGCCTATCAATAAATTGTCCAAATGGTTCAGTGGCTCCTTGCTTTATGGTGGCATAGGATGCTGACTTTTTCTTGTCTGGTACCAAAAGCAAAGCTTGATGAGCCAATTGCTGTGACAATTGATGTATTTCAACAGGAAAGGTAAGTTGTACCTGATTGGTTGCATATGGTCCTCGCCCAGTCAGCATATCTGGCTGGACTCCAAAAAAGGGGTCTCCCACATTTGTGTGTTTGTTGGCCTCTTCAATTGCCAACCGCTTCCATTCCCTTTCAAACATGAGGAATTGAGAAGGTGTCAGAAGCAGGGATGCAATGTTAGATGAATCACCAGGACAAAGCACATCTGCTGTGAATATATACTGAATGATGTTCCTGGCTGCTTCTGATCTGATCCCATAAGCGGTGACTGTCTGCTTAGCTGATTGTAGGATTTTCCAGTCATGGGGCTCCCAGATGGCATTCCCATTAGACACTATGACAGGACAAGCCAGGGAGCTGGCAGCTTTCCAGTCACCGTCTAAAAGAGCATCTTTCACAACTGACGCCCATCGGGACTGCAAGGGATTTTTTAAAACTGCTGGCGATGCCAATTGCTGGCCAGTGGAAGGTTCCACTGGTGGAGCCTGACGATTTGAGAGGGTGGCAAGGCGGGCTATTTCTTTCTGTAACGTATTTGGTCTTTGTATCTTGTTCTGTGATCGCGTGTCCCTGCTGCAATTGACAACAGAGAGGTCCGGTTCTGAGTCATCAGAATCTGAGCTCGGTGGGAGAGGGCAGCGCAGCGCTACCGTGGTGGAGTGGGAACTGGCATTTTCAGGGTTCTGCTCTGGTGTTGTCTGGGTGGCTACTTCTGCCATTCCGCTAGCATTGGGGTGCCCAGCCCCTCTAAGCCGCTCCAGGCTGCTGGCCGCGGCCGCCGCCGCCGGCGGGTATCGGCGAGCCGCTCCTCTGCGTTTGCACGCACCGGTGGCAGCCGCCGCCGCTGCCGCTGCGGGGGGGCGAGGGGCCGGCGCCGCCTCGCTCCCGTCTCCGCCCTGGTCTCTGCCTTGATCTCCGCCCCCGAGTTCCTCCTCCTGACTCAGCCCTGTTTCGTCACCAACCCCGCCTGCCTCCTCAGGTGTCTCCCCGCCTCCCGAGGGACCCGGAAGGGTCACTTCCTGGTCTGCCGCATTTCGCGGAACCGCCGAGCTGTTAACATCCGCTGCTTGCGAGCACACTTCCGCTCCGGGCGCAGCCGCATCCCTGCTTTGTCTCGCGCCGGCCGGCCCCGCGCCGCCCGGCTCTGCGTTTTCCTCCCAACGAGCGACAAAATCTCTGACAGAGGGGCTGACTGGAGCTTTCTGCCCTCGCACTGGCCGCATATTACAAACATTAAAAAATTTTTCAACCCGAGATGGCTTTCGCGCTTCTATCTGTTCTGACGTGGACTGCTCAAATGCTTGAATTGCAGCTTCCGCTGCTCTTTTGTCCGCGGCCATGCTCTGTAAGGTATGTAAAACTTTCTTCCAAGCACCTCCAAGCTCCAATAGTGTTTTCTTGTCTTTTCTGCCCTCTATGACCGCATCCCAAAGCAGCTGCCCCAGCTCTTGCCATTCGGTTTCACTAAAAATCAGGGAAGGTTTTTGCAGCTTGCCTTTGCTTCTTGCCCAAAGGACCAACTGTTCTAAATCAGCTTCTTTAACTTTTTCAGCTCTCTTTGAGAGAATATGAAAGAGCAGCCGCACTGAAGCCTGTAAATCTCCATCCATGGTGAACCTTTCACCCTCTCTCTGTCTCCGCGGCTTACCTCAACCTCCGCGGGCTGCTCCGCTCTCGCTTTTCTTCGGCAAGGCAGCAC